TTCTGGTAGTGTAATGACTACAAAAACGGCTGGTAGGGACTACAACAAGTTACTTCCTGGGTTCGTGACATCACAAACCCAGATAAACCCCGCCCTCGGGAAAAGGCAGCAAAGAAGAGGAAGAGAAAACTAGAGGTGCACGTGAAAATCTGTTCATATATGAATCGCGATTCTGTCTTCTAACTAATCTAATGGATTCACAAGTTTCAAAATCAATGTTCTAAAGCAGAGTTCTTAATACTTCCTGGGTTTGTGACATCACAAACCCAGATAAAACCCACCCTCGGGAAAAGGCAGCAAAGAAGAGGAAGAGAAAACTAGAGGTGCACGTGAAAATCTGTTCATATATGAATCGCGATTCTGTCTTCTAACTAATCTAATGGATTCACAAGTTTCAAAATCAATGTTCTAAAGCAGCGGTTTTTAATCCCCTCACTCACGCCCCCCCGCTCTGCATCTCTCTCTCTCTCTCTCTCTCTCTCTCTCTCTCTCATATTCAGTTCAGCTCCAACAATGAACTGTTCCAATTATACACTTATTTTGTATACCATTATTTAACGCCGTTGTTTACAATACAACCGGAGCACATGCCGCTGAGGTGAGGGGCGGGACGTTAAGAAGCGCACTAGAGATGGTTTAGCCAATCACAACACACTGGGCTAGCTAACCAATCAGAGCCCATCGCCTATTTCTGAGGGCGGGACTTCATAAAAAAAAGGAGAAGATCGGTCCGTTTCTCAGAGAAGGGACAGAGCAGTGTGGAATAAAGCAGTGTCTAGCCATGCAGCCTTTCTCTCCGGTTTTATGACAGTACCTTTTATGGTTATAGTAGAACATTAAAATATTACAATCTAAAATTGCTCTTTTAAGGCCCGTTCACACCAAGCACGATAACTATAAAGATAACGATAAAGATATAGTTCTAAAAATTGTTCTCAATATTAAAGAATAGCATAGTCCACACCACAACTATAACGATAACGATACAGAGGAACGATATCGTTGTGATCACTTTCAAAACGATTTTTTCCCAGCTGATGAACGATAAAACACTGACAGCCAATCAGAATCCATCCTGCTGTAACGAGCTCAAGAATTAAAGCGGTAGACGCGCGCGCGCGCGCTTAGAATAAACTGACGATATCGTTCGCTGGTGTGGACGCTAATATCGTTATCTTTATAGTTATCGTTCTTGGTGTGAACAGGGCTTAAAGCATTAAAAACACAAAAAATGTAAATCCCAAATAACAGAAAACGGACTACATTTTAACTGATAAGAAAAGATTTTAACTCATCTGAGCTAGTAATTAGGGCTGTATAAGTCAGCTTACATTTGATTTAGTTACTGCTATCAATAAAATAAACTTATGTAGGATTAAAAATTCTACAAAAGGCCCATTTAATGTCCAACAAATATTTTAGCAGAATGCATATTTTATTCAGAATTATTGCGGTCCATCTGTTTAGCGCGCAGCAGCGCTCGTTCACTCCGTAAGCCTCGTTCACTCCCGACAGCAAAATGGATATATTTGCATGACTTTCTAACATTTACAGATGAAGAATATACCCGTGACATGTCCGTTATGCACTGAGGAAAACACAATGTCTCAAATGCATTAAACGGCACAAATATTCGCTGTTTGCCATGCTGGATCCGTTTGATCCATGCTCGACATTAAGGACTGCGTAAGAATAAGCGTGCACATCAAATTATCCTGACTCATTGAACCTGGATCGAATTAGTGAGATTGCGTGAACTTAAATTGTCGTTTATGAAACCGCTTTCATCCCGATTGATTTGTTAGGTTATTTCAAGTCAGGTTTTGGACTTTAATCCCCGCTTTTCTTAGCGTCTTTTGTGAAACAGCCCCCTGGTTTGTTTGGTAAACTTGTTTTAGGGGGGCAAACACTTCTTCACACAGGGCCATGTAGTTTTGGATTTTGTTTTCCCTTAATAATAAAAACCTTCATTTAAAAAGTGCATGTTGTGTTTACTTGTGTTATCTTTGACTAATATTTAAATTAGTTTGATGATCTGAAACATTAAAGTGTGACAAACGTGCAAAAAAATAGGAAATCAGGAAGGGGGCCAACACTTTTTCACACCACTGTATATTATTCTATTATAGTTATTATTTTTATTATACCATTCATAGCTTTCAGTCACGTGACCGGCTAGAAGATCTGGGCAAAACATCCATAAAACTGCAGCACAAGCCTGTCAATTTTCCATCTGTTTCACAGCCGCAAATATTTAGATCACCTCTCAAAAGAATAAAACAAAGGTATGTGAATGTTGTGATTATTGTTTTTATTTTATTTTATGTAAAGCACTTTGAATTACCATTGTGTATGAAATGTGCTATACAAATAAACTTGCCTTGCCTTGCCTTGCCTCAAAAGATTAAAACAAAAGGTATGTGTGAACAAAATGCAAGTTTTGGCCATTTGCAATCCATATTAAGCACCCGCGGCAATATTTCAATCATTAAACAGTGCGACAAAACGTTGTAAATACACTTAAAGTGCCTTAATGTATTTAAAACAGTAATATAGAGATTACTGAATTTAATATTTTAATATTAATGATGCATAGTTTACATAGGCAAGCAGATGAGGCCAGAATATGAACTCTATCCGCTTAATGGTTCAGTGTTTTCCTTATGGGTTTCTATGGGATACCACTTAACGCGAAACTTTGCACGTTGCGTTTATATTCGGGCTTCATCTGCTTGCCTGTACAAAATATACATCATCAATAAGGAGTTTACTGAATTTTGCCTTTTAATATCTGCGTTTTACTACATTACTACTTGAAGTTGACATATCATGATAATCTGATGTTTCCAGGTGTTAAGTGCTATAATCAGGTCCCCGGTGCATCTACCAACCAAGGAAACGTGAAAAAGATTAACCTAGTAACTTTGTTTTGGGAAGTTTTTTCTGCAAGCGTCTGAGAAAACGAGCGCATCTGATTTTGCTCTCCTAGTGACGTGGCAAAGGGATCTCATTATAATATTACATTATAATAATCTGTAAGTTTACACCCACGGCGCCGTCCTTTTGATTTCACAAGTGACAACGGTGTAGCAGCTCTAATGCCGTGGAGAAAGTTTGAGCAAAACATGCTAACTGTTCTGTGTTTGGCTGCACAGACGAGCACAGAACACTATTTACAGTCCCAGCCTCAGAGGAGAGGTGTGATAAACCACAGTTTTAACAGGGGGGGCAAACACTTCTTCACACAGGGCCATGTAGTTTTGGATTTTGTTTTCCCTTAATAATAAAAACCTTCATTTAAAAACTGCATGTTGTGTTTACTTGTGTTATCTTTGACTAATATTTAAATTAGTTTGATGATCTGAAACATTAAAGTGTGACAAACGTGCAAAAAAATAGGAAATCAGGAAGGGGGCCAACACTTTTTCACACCACTGTATATTATTCTATTATAGTTATTATTTTTATTATACCATTCATAGCTTTCAGTCACGTGACCGGCTAGAAGATCTGGGCAAAACATCCATAAAACTGCAGCACAAGCCTGTCAATTTTCCATCTGTTTCACAGCCGCAAATATTTAGATCACCTCTCAAAAGAATAAAACAAAGGTATGTGAACAAAATGCTAGTTTTGGCCATTTGCAATCCATATTAAGCACCCGCGGCAATATTTCAATCATTAAACAGTGCGACAAAACGTTGTAAATACACTTAAAGTGCCTTAATGTATTTAAAACAGTAATATAGAGATTACTGAATTTAATATTTTAATATTAATGATGCATAGTTTACATAGGCAAGCAGATGAGGCCAGAATATGAACTCTATCCGCTTAATGGTTCAGTGTTTTCCTTATGGGTTTCTATGGGATACCACTTAACGCGAAACTTTGCACGTTGCGTTTATATTCGGGCTTCATCTGCTTGCCTGTACAAAATATACATCATCAATAAGGAGTTTACTGAATTTTGCCTTTTAATATCTGCGTTTTACTACATTACTACTTGAAGTTGACATATCATGATAATCTGATGTTTCCAGGTGTTAAGTGCTATAATCAGGTCCCCGGTGCATCTACCAACCAAGGAAACGTGAAAAAGATTAACCTAGTAACTTTGTTTTGGGAAGTTTTTTCTGCAAGCGTCTGAGAAAACGAGCGCATCTGATTTTGCTCTCCTAGTGACGTGGCAAAGGGATCTCATTATAATATTACATTATAATAATCTGTAAGTTTACACCCACGGCGCCGTCCTTTTGATTTCACAAGTGACAACGGTGTAGCAGCTCTAATGCCGTGGAGAAAGTTTGAGCAAAACATGCTAACTGTTCTGTGTTTGGCTGCACAGACGAGCACAGAACACTATTTACAGTCCCAGCCTCAGAGGAGACGACAGAGCAGTGCATTTATTGATGTATTTACTGTATATTGCTGCTGCCACACAGATCTAAAATAAACAAGCGATTTATTTCCCAGCTGTTTACCTTCACAGACATAACCCACTGTTTTTGTAACTTGTGTGTTTTTAACGTAAACTTGTGTGTGAAAGAGAACTTAGTTTAGTGCTTGCATGCTGTGACAGCCGCTTTCTGTGCGTGTGCTTCGGATGTGTGCTCTCAGAAAACCTTTATATCAGAGGTTTAAACTAATATGGTTTAAAACGCATGATTTCAGAAAAACAGAATGGTCTGACTTCAGTTTTGTGAAAATATACATTAAAAAATATCTGCATGAAACGGAAACATTCATATAAACTCCTACCCCTAAATGAATCGCGATTTGTTTAGCGTCACATATTTTAATCGATTTTCAACCGACTCGCGGTTAATCGTTACATCCCTAACGTATATTACAGAACTTTATTGTAATAATATATAATATTGTGTGCAATCTCTCTGGAGTTTAAAAAAAAAATGTTTTACATGTCTAAACATTTTGTTGTCTGTTGCTTTGTGCCCGTTAAACTGGAGTTAACTTGTATTTGTCTTTTTTCACCTTAGATCTAATGCCGCTGAAAGAGGAGCGTGAAGTACTGGATGAAATGAAAGAAAAAGATCAGTGTAAGAAACATCATGATATCGTAACTGAAGAAATATCTGAACAGGCTTCCTCACAAAAAAGTAATTTCACCTGCCAACAGTGCGGAAAGTGTTTCTCTACAAAAAGAAACCTGAAACGCCACATGGACATTCACACTGGAGAGAAGCCTTACGCCTGCCAGCAGTGTGGAAGGTGTTTCAATAAAAAAGGAACCCTTAAAGGTCACATGAGCATTCATACTAGAGAAAAGCCTTACACGTGCCCTCAGTGTGGAAACTGTTTCACCCAGCAAGGAAACTTTAACAGGCACATGAGAGTTCACACTGGAGAGAAGCCTTACACCTGCAAACTGTGTGGAAAGAGCTTTACAACCAAACTAAACCTTAAGGATCATCTGCTGTGTGTGTGCACTAAGGATGGGTTAAAAGCAGAGCACTAATTCCGAGTATGGGTCACCATACTTGGCCACATGTCACTTCACTTTTTCACTTTCACGGTTGCGCTTGCGTCTCTTGCATGAAACGCCATTCTAAAAACACTGCGCTCAAGTTAAAAGAAGTTCACTCCCAATTCTTGCATGTTTTACCTATTCCACTGCCTGCGTCGCATCTTTGTCAACACATAAGCGCATTCTGTGTGCTAAATTGATGGTCCTTCACAGAGCGAGTCACACGTGAGCGGTTGTTTTTTCTGCTCAAGTGAAACCGAAAGTAAACAGAGCTCTGAAGGAAAAGCCCACATTACAGGAAAAGATGTCATGGGTGTGTGTGTGTGTGTGTATGAGAGAGAGAGATTGTTTCTTTGGAATATATTGTGATCATATAATGTGATAAACATTAGCCTACTCGACTCCATTCTTTGTGCTTTCGTTGCTGTTGTTTCCAATCCTGTGGCACTGAAAGGGTTAACGCATAGACCTTGGCCATGTTGAAATCAAAAAGAAAATGAATGCTGCCCAAGAGTTGCAGCACATCAGTTATGATCCCTATATCCATGAAATCCTAAGAGAAGTTCATATGGAAAATTATACCACCGGATGATTCATCTGTGATTGTGCACTCAAACCTTTCTGTACAAGCTTCAATCATATTGGGTTATTTCATTTAGACTGGCTCCGGACTTTACATGCTATTGCCATTCTGTCTTGCAGTTCTACTGTTTGTTTTTGTCTTTAGGAGTCTCAGGTTTTGGACTGTTGCACTATTGTCCCTCAGAACTTTCTGTAAAACAACAAAACACTATTGGGGTTGTATTCATGCATCTTAGTTTCCTTTGCAATACATCAAAGTCGACTCCCACATTGTATATATTCAGCGAGCCAATCAGCGCTCCGCAGGTCAGAGATGAAAGCTGTATAGCGGTGTTTGCTAACGGTGTGTGCGTGCCTATAAAGTAAGTAGCAGTCTATTCATCCATTGTTCTCTACTATCTTTATATATGTTTAACTGCTCAGTGTGTCCAAGTGCTGTGTTAAGTGTGTATATTTACATACTAGATTCCTCACATATATCACTGTTATGTTTAGATGACAATCTACTGTATGTGCCATTTTATTGGTTTATCTAATATACATTTCTAAGAGTCAAAGCACTTATTTGGCACATGAGCAGCTTCATCTCTGTCCTCCGCGGTGGGAGCGGTCCAATTTCAACTGCAATTTCTTTTGCCTCCTCTGTTATTGAGCAAGAGTGAAACTTGAACGTTTGATTAGCTCAGCTTGTTGCTCAAGTTACACGGGTTAAATGTAATATTTAAAACCAGCTGCTTAGTTCTTGTTTCCTCAATCTGCAGACATTTGTTTCAACACAATAACTTCCACCAGGCTTGGAGCTGGTGCAACTCATCCTCAAAAGCATATTTCTTAAGCGTCTAAAGAATAAAATATTAATCCTGCAAGGAAAAGGAACACTGTGACTTGTTTTTATGACCACATTTGTGTCTGAGACACGCCTTCTTTCTGCACATGCTCAGTGCAGTCCTGAGAGACCTTGCACGCAAACCACATCCTGATTCACACAGGATACAAGATCTGCAGTAAGATTGAAGGATTTTACCAAATCAGCTCACCTGTTCAAACGGATAACTTCAAACTCCTAGACAAGCCATGGATTTTGAGAAGAGCAAAGAAGGATGTAAAAACTGCGAAAAGAATTGCAATAACAAATGCCAATGCCATTGTCATATAGTAACCCAAAGTCCTACACCTAAGCAGAGGACTGAGGAGAAGACGTCTGAAGGGCCTTCAAAAGAGTGCGGCTCCTGTGATTGCGGCTACTGTTATTTCGTCCCCTGTGACTGTGTCCCTTGTGATGGTGGCTCCGGTGATGGTGGTGCCGGTGACCGCGGCCCCTGTGATTGCGGCCCCTGTGATTGCGGCCCCTGTGATTGTGACCCCTGCGATTGCGGCCCCTGTGATTGTGACCCCTGCGATTGCGGCCCCTGCGATTGCGGCTCCTGCGATTGCGGCTCCTGTGATATTCAGTGAATGTTTGCAGGATGTTGGTCAGACAGGTGAGAAACATTTGTCTCTTTAATGACTGCTTCTAAAAATATGGACATTTTACAATTTTCCTCCAATTTGATCAAAGTTTTGTGGCTGTTAAATGCGCTCTGAACATTGATCAGTACTTCCACAACATTTATAAATCTTAATGACAATTTCAACATTTACTAATACATATTCAAATAGAAAATTGTGCCAGCATTATCTAGTGCACTGTGAATTAACATGAATAAACACTAACAAAGGTTAATAAATGTAGCTCAAATATATTTTTCATTGTTAGACCACACCAGCTAATGCATGAATGTGAACAAATGAGACTTTATTGCAAAGTGTTAGTAAAAAGTAGGGGTGTCCCCGACTAAGTATTTTCATATTCGAATCAGAATTGTCGAATCTTGCCGATAGTCGACTGATAGTCGAATCATATGTTTTGGGGGCGGGGAAAAATACATTAACAAGAGTCAAGTCAGACATTCGACATTCATTAATACGGACGTTAACACACAGGGAAAATGTGTAACGGATGCCTCGCAGATACAAAAATAACGTTTTATGTTTTTATTAAAATGATATTCAGTGAATGTTTGCAGGATGTTGGTCAGACAGGTGAGAAACATTTGTCTCTTTAATGACTGCTTCTAAAAATATGGACATTTTACAATTTTCCTCCAATTTGATCAAAGTTTTGTGGCTGTTAAATGCGCTCTGAACATTGATCAGTACTTCCACAACATTTATAAATCTTAATGACAATTTCAACATTTACTAATACATATTCAAATAGAAAATTGTGCCAGCATTATCTAGTGCACTGTGAATTAACATGAATAAACACTAACAAAGGTTAATAAATGTAGCTCAAATATATTTTTCATTGTTAGACCACACCAGCTAATGCATGAATGTGAACAAATGAGACTTTATTGCAAAGTGTTAGTAAAAAGTAGGGGTGTCCCCGACTAAGTATTTTCATATTCGAATCAGAATTGTCGAATCTTGCCGATAGTCGACTGATAGTCGAATCATATGTTTTGGGGGCGGGGAAAAATACATTAACAAGAGTCAAGTCAGACATTCGACATTCATTAATACGGACGTTAACACACAGGGAAAATGTGTAACGGATGCCTCGCAGATACAAAAATAACGTTTTATGTTTTTATTAAAAGATAGTTAACATTAAACGTCAGTGAAACCCTAAGAATTCACAACAGCTCTCATTATAAAGTTATGTATATGACAGTAGTTATTAATGGTCTGCATTTCTGTTTTTTTAGCTGCGCGCGCTGAAGGTGACCAGTAGAGTGAAGCAGCAGGTTGTTAATCAATGGGATTTAACTCATCATTTATCTCATATAGAAAACGCTTATTTATACAACATAACGTTAATATTACGACTTGTAGGCTATCTGCACAAAATGCCCCGAATGCACATGAACGAATGAATGAACTCCTTTTGTGGACGCGTTCTTCACGCAACAACGTGCAGAAACACGGCAACTGAACTATAAAAATTCACAGCGTTTCATTATAATGGTTCAATGTAACATTTAATTATAATGTCATGTATATGACAGTCCCAGTCATAGTCATTAATATAATGCATTGTTGTTTGTCCTGCTCGCGCTGCGCGCTGAAGAGATAGTCAACGTAGTACTACAACGAAGCGCTTTACTGCTGCGCAACTCGACCAAATGCATCTTATACGAGATAAATAATATATACACAATATATATATATTTTTAAAAATCCAGTCTTTCACTTTGCCTGTGTCAGTTTGAGTCTTGTTAAAAGTTTTAAATCCCTGCCACCAAAATGTTCCTCTGTCGGTCACGGATCATTGAAAGTGAAACTTAAATCTATAGAGGTGGTTGGATTTATTCACGCACGTTAAAATAGCTATTTAATTAAAGCTTCTTTCTTTTCAGATTCTTATTTAAAGCATTATTTTAATAGGCTGTATATTAACTTATTGGGAGAAAACCGTAAGTTCTATGTGAAATCAGACATTGAGCACCCCCCCCCATACAGCCAAAATGGCGTGATCATAACACCCCGCGAATATTCGACTGTGAGATTGGGAGTCGAATCTGGCTCCTCCTATCGAAGCATCGAATCTTCGACTATTCGGGGTCACCCCTAGTAAAAAGTAAAAGTGACAAGCTTTTATTTAATTCTTAATCTAGTGAAAAATAAATATACTTAACAGGAAATAAATGTATTTCAAATACATTTTAGTATATTACAAATACATTTACATTTTTATGTACTTAACAGAAATACCCTGTAATTGTACTTTTGGTATACATAAATTGGAACAACTAATTTTGTACTTAATGCATTTAATTAGTGCTGAGGTCTAACTAAAGATAGTTCCACTTTAGCACAATCAAATTTACTTTCTACTATTGCATATGTAGTTAAGGTACACTTTAAATATTTTGCATGTGAAGATATTATTCAAACATCATCCAATCCTTATCAATAGTGACATTAAAACACATTTTAGTCTTAATTTAGAAATGTGCGTTGTGCACAAGTAGTACTCCAAATAAAGTTTAAAGGGGTCATATGGTGTTGCTAAAAAGAACATTATTTTGTGTATTTGGTGTAATGAAATGTGTTTATGCGGTTTAAGGTAAAAAAAAAAACGCATTATTTTCCACATACTGTACATTATTGTTTTTCCTTTATGCCCCGCCTTTCTGAAACACGTCGATTTTTACAAAGCTCATCGATCTGAAAAAGCGAGGTGTGCTGTGATTGGCCAGCTATCCAGTGTACCTCAAGTGGCCGAATACCTCAAATGTGAGACGGAAATGTTACGCCCCTCACCATACTGTGATGCCTGCGGCAATCACATGTGACGACCCCGGGCTGGACTCCGCTTCGTCCACAGCGTTATGCAAATCTTCCCACATAGTGAGGTAGACATGTGGGGGCGTGTTAGAACGAGCCGTTTTAGGTAGGCGTGGCTGACTCTTAACTTTTATAAAGAATATCTCTTTGGATTTGAGACTTTAGTCTTTGCAACTTTACAGATCTTCTTTATGCACCAAGAGCTTGTAACACTCCAAAGAGAAAGGAACAATTGAAATTGCATCATTTGACCCCTTTAATAAAATGTTTTAATCAGTAGGTCTATGTCCATAAATATGTTAATAGGTTAGA